CTGGTGAGAGGCAAATAGGAAATAAGCTGTGAACAGTAGCTGAGTGTGAGCAGGGCAGCTGCTGCTAGTCAGCTTTCAACACAAAAGAGACATCTCCCACAGAGCACCAGACCTGTTCAGCCAGCACAAGAGGAGCTAGCCAGTCTTAAGATCAGAGCTCTGCTCCCTTCCCTCTCTCAGCTACCCATGTAGAGCAGATTTCAGCTGCACTGTGCATGGGGGTGCTGAAGCAAGCTGCAGTCCTGGCAGCAGCCCAGGCTAAGCTGCCTCCAAGAGCCAAGCACCTTCACAGCCTGGCCAGATTATCGGACCACAGGTATTTGCAGAGTTGTTTAATTGACAGAAAGGCTACATTTTGTGATGTGCAGAATAGCTGAATGTTAAATATTAGAACACTTTAAAAAGAAGAACAGCAGACTTTTTTTACTTCCATAGTAGGAGCACTATCAGTTTTAGGTAGTTTTGCATTTTGTAACATTTTCAAAAACTGAATTATCATTCCTCCCATCCTTGTTTGGTAATTAAAACCGCAAACCAATCGCATCTAAAAGATAGAATTCTTTTGCAGTGAATATGAATTTGCCTTACTTTTGTCTTACCAGTGGTTCTGTTAATTTGTTTCATGTTTTTTCCCCCTTCTGGTAACATTTATTTCTTTTGGTTTTAGAGAAGGATGATGTATGCATCTTCCAAGAGGTCACAGTACTGAGCCCTGGACAGTCAGTGATTCAGTACTTGGATGGAGACCTTTGTTACACTGTACAGTGTTTACAAGAAAAAGATCAGAACACAGGCTACAATGCCATGCATTTCACAATGATGAACTGTTCCCAGCAATGTGAAGCTGTGAGTATTCCTAATATACAGGAATTATGCAATTTGTGAGCACAACTGCACAACTAGGATAGAAATCTTAGTGAAGACTTTTGCTAGCCCTGTTTACTCAGCAAGAACTTGAGAACTTAGCAGTGATGATGTCTATCTTGTGTTTACATGATTATTTTGAGGCAGTTTCTAGCAGCCTATGTAAAAAAAACCATCCATCCATCCATCCATCCATCCATCCATCCATCCATCCATCCATCCACCGTTTTCCTTGGTGTTTTTAATTTCAGAAATCAAAGAATTTCCATATAATGTATATTTAGAAAGTACTAGTTTGTCTTTTTCCTTTCCTTTCTTTCCAGCATCAAGTATACATTCCCTCCTTCAGTCACCATACTTGTTGTGGTACGTGTCAAAACGTGTCCTGCTCTTTTCAAACAGAGAATGGAACGCTGACTGTGTATGAGGTAGGTGCCTCTGAACCCAGAGAGGAACTAACTGTAATGATACAATAGACAGGAGTCTGACAGGCATTTCTTTGTTAACTCATGCTGTCATTCTTGTTTCATACCTCCTTTCTGCTGGTTACACGCTTAAGAGACTATTTATGGTGTCTGATTGGAAATCAGTGTGTTTATCTAAAGACCTGCCATTTCACATACGTAAATATCTTGTTGCTTGTAATATTTTCTGCAAAGATATGCAAATGTCATCATTTACTTAAGGCTGGATATGCTCTAAATGCAGAACAGGGTTCAAACCCTAAATAATATACTGTGATTTAGATGTGTTGAGAACTTCTGAGCCTACATCAGGATTTCTATGTCCCCCTCTTCTCAGAACCACTCTTCACGCTAGTTACTACAGAAAAGTGTAAATTGAAGCTCTGGGGTTCAGGATCTTGATAGTGTGTTCCAGCATCCACATACACAGAAATTTAGATGTGGCCATGATTTGGTTCATACTTCCAAATTATTTCAGAGCAAAGGAAACTATTGAACTGGCAGAGTCCTTTCATTCTGCAGTAGGACAGCCATGCTCAGCAGCACACTGGAGAGAAGAGCCATGACTGCAGGGAGGAATAGCCTCTGATAATTAGAGGATGGTCTTTCCCTTTTACCACCTACAGGTGGTCTGCAGCACACTTTCCACTCCAGTAGATGCTACACTATGAGGGCACTACTTTTGTAGACATTTCAGGTTGGAGATAAAGGCGAAGTGTTTTGGCTTTCCTAACAATGGCTTTGTTTTATATATTCAGGAAGGAAGCACCTGGACCTCCAACTGTACCAACTACAAATGTGTAAAGACTGCTGCAGGGGCTATTGTCCTGGGGTCAAGTGTTGTCTGTCCCCCATT